CTGAATTTATAGCCTAGAGAGTCATAACCATATAAAATTTATCCAAATTTTGCTTTATCTCCTATAACGAATCCACCTCTAGGAGCATCTTTAATTCTTCAACTGTTGATTGAGCTTGAGCAATAAAGGTCATCATATCTTTATCCACTTGCTTGAGAGAGGCTAATCGATTAGCGGAATCATAGAAGCGTTGGATATCATTTGTGAAGATATTCTGAGTCTTTTTCCAAAAAAAGTTACATGTGTTTGAAGGATCTCAGAGTGTTCAAAATATTTGGTTCTACTGATTGCTATAATAGAGCACAAAGTTGATAATCAAGCTTTTCCATTGTTGAGTCTGATCTTCTGGTATGTTACTTTCGTCTTCTTTTAGATGAATGTGAAACCCTTGTCCAAGGAACCAAAGTTCCATTGAAGAGGACCAAGACATGTAATATTTTCCATTTAATTTCTCAGTCGTTATAGTGGGAGTTCCGGAAAAGGAGGTTGTGGGGAATTGATGACATGTTTTAAATAATGTAGATCTAAGATGGAGATAATGAAACCTATAAGAAGGAGAACACCCAAGATAGAATTAGATAGAGATCGAAACATCAATTTTTATTTTGCAAGAAAATTGACGAATGACAGCAGTTGTAGCGGAACGGAGGCCAGAAGGTGGTTGAAAATTCGTCAAACGACAACAAAAAAGTGATCAGACGAGGGGACGAACAATTGCCGGAAAGTGGTCAGAAAAGTGGTCGGACGGTATTCGGACGGTGGCCGGAAAGGCAGAGCAGGACCAACCTGCTCTGATACCAAGTTAAGAGAATAAAGAAAGTTAAAAGAAGATTTATAATATAGTGGAATACATTACTCCACTCTATGATCTCATATATATATATATATATATATATATATATATATATGCAGTGTAGCATCAATTATCTTATGGCGGAGGCCGGTGGGTCAAGTCAAAATCGAATCGTAGCGCTTGAGGCTGATGCTCTTAAGTAAAAAGAGTTGTGCTTCTAACTAACGAGTTATAGTTCTTAGTCTAGTGATAAGCGTTCGATCCTAACAATTGAAAAATAACCACCAACTACTAACCACTACCTAATAATAATTCTAACAAATCTATTTTTTCCAATCTCTTCCATTATTTTAACAAATACAAAATTAATTTTTTTATCTTTTTTCTAAAATTCTACGTCAATTTTAATAATAATTAATATTATTTTATTTTTAATTTATATTTATTATGTTTTATTATCTATTTTTTTAATTTTATTATTCGTATTTATCATATATCAAATTTGATCTTAATAAAATAATTATATTTTAAAAATTATAAATAATTAATAAAGAAAATTTTTATTATTTTAAACTAAGAATTAATTTATTAAATATTTTTTATAAAAATATATTTCATATTTATAAATATTTTAAAGTGAAAACTTAAAAAATAATTAATTTATATATGTATCAAATATTTTAATATATTATTATTATTATTATTATTATAATTATAATATAATTTTATATTTGTATAATAAAATGATTAAATATTTCTTTTACATATATATTTTAATATAAATATAATTAATTAAAATATATAATTAATTATTAATAATAATTATAAATTATAAATATTTATTCATATATAAAAAATATTAAATTAATTTATTATAAGTATAATTATTATTTTTTAAAACAATGTAGAAACGATACGAGTGAAGAATGAAGAAACCCAGATCTCTGAAATGAAAACTTAATTTAAACTTCAGCATAAATCACAAATGAAAGCAAAAGCGGTGAAAAAAAAATCGGGTCTGTCCCATTAACAAGTAAAAATAATAATACAATGCAATTGATACATGTAATTACAAAACAGGCTTTTCTATTTTTTACTGGAAAATATTAACAGTGTTAGTAATTTTAAATTCAGCGAAGATATATGAAATAAAAATCAATAAAATCTTACCTAACTTGAATATTCTAAATGGATATTTCATTCATTGTCGATTAAAAATGTTAAAAGTAAAGTTAATCACACTAAGTTAAAACGATTTCATAAGTCAAGAAAATTCAAAGATAGATGTTAAACAAAATTACTTTTTTTTTTATATAATTTTTTAAAGAAAAGAAAAAAGTCATACCTAAGCCCTCGTTTGTTTGAAGCTGATTTGCGACGAAATCATTGTTCACGAAGACGAAACACGAGATTCACCCACGTTTGGTTGAACCGATTTGCGACGAAATGCAGAGCGAGGAAAAGGGGAGATGAGAGAGAGAGTTTCTTCGTGAGGTGCGAAGAAAAGAGATGAAAGTAATGAAAAGTTCGTTGTTACCACTGCAATATATGATAGCGGTTAAATCTTAACCGCTATTATAACAGCACTTGTAATAGCGGTTAAAACTTAACCGCTATTATATATCACTTCTAATAGCGGTTAAAACATAACCGCTATTATATATCACTTCTAATAGCGGTTAAATCTTAAACGCTATTATATATCACTTAAGATAGCGCTTACAGAGGAACCGCTATTATATCCTCCAATATTTCGCTCGAGCGAGACATAGTCGCTCAAGCGAAACACAACCCGAGAATGAAGAAATTAAAATATGGTTGTATATGATAGCGGTTCCACTGGAACCGCTATCTAATATACACTTTAGATAGCGGTTACATCGAAACCGCTATTATATCCTCCAATTATGATCGATCATTACCTAAATCTAATCGATCAGAATAATATTTCGCTTCGAGCGAGATATAGTCGCTCAAGCGAAACACAACCGAGACTCGAAGAAATTAAAAATTTGGTTGTATATGATAGCGGTTCCACTGGAACCGCTATCTAATATACACTTTAGATAGCGATTACTGGAGGAGCCGCTATTATATCCTCCAGTTATGATCGATCATTTCAAATTATGATCGATCAGTATCGATTTTCAGCTCGAGCGAGATATAGTCGCTCGAGCGAAATACAACCCGAGACTCGAATCTTAAAATATTTTTTTGAATATTATGTTTTTAAATTTGCTATTAGAGAAAACCTTTCAGAATTCAAAATGTTAAATACTTTTAAATATTAAAATTAACTTTATCAAAAATTAGGAAAACAAAATTTATCCAAAAGAGTTCAAAAATATATAAGAGTATTCTCAATTTTGAGTTTAATTATATTGTTCATTCTCAAAGTAGAAATTTATATTGTAGTTATTTAATTTACATTTTGTGATCTTCTTAAAATTAGCATCAATAACATTAGACTTTACATTTGATTCATACCTAACTAATTATAGATTAAAAGGAAAGTGGTATAACCATGCATTTTACTTTTCTATTTACCTTATTCTTTTAATTATTTTATATAATAATAATCAAAATATTCACATGAATATGGGCATTTTCCAAAATAATATTATTGTATTATTGTTAAAATTAGCATCAATAACATTACACTTGATCTTCTTAATTATATTGTTCATTCTCAAATTAGAAAATTATATTGTAATTATCTTCAATTTATTAAAAGTGTAATTAAATCTCTATTTTCTTAATTTTTTTTGTTTCAAACTTCTCAATGCTACATTTTTGTAACTTCTATCATTATATTATCATCCTCATCTCCTCCCATGTTCTACTTTATCTTTACAATAGTTAATATTCTTAAATAATCTATATTTTTAATTATAATTTTTTAATATATATTTTGAAATTAATCAATTCTAAGCTATTATTTGAAAAACTAATCAATTCTAATCAATAATTTAGAAAAATAATCGATTAGAATTAATTATTTGAAAAAATTATGAAATATGATCGATCATTTCAAAAATCTAATCGATCAGAATCATATTTCAGCTCGAGCGAGATATAGTCGCTCAAGCGAAACACAACCCGAGACTCAAGAACTTAAAATATGGTTGTATATGATAGCGGTTCCACTGGAACCGCTATCTAATATACACTTTAGATAAGCGATTCTGAAGGAACCGCTATTATATCCTCCAATTATGATCGATCATTTCAACTTATGATCGATCAGGATCGTATTTCGCTCGAGCGAGATATAGTCGCTTCGAGCGAAATACGACTTATGAGCTCACGCTTTGAGAGTTGTTGTAGCCTACCTAAGCTCCGCTTTTTTCGGTTCAATCCAATCGCAGTGGGATTAGAGAGCAAGTCGCTCAAAGTTTGTTTTAATCTGTTGAAATAGCCGTTATAATCTGTTAAAAGTCCTTTCAACCCATTAATGCGTTCTTGTTCTTTAACGTAATTGTTTTAGCTGATACGACCAAGTTTTTATCAGTTAAAACTTTTTACAAATATTTTCTAAGAGTGATTTAATCGATTGATTCACGGTTTAATCGATTGATTCAGTTTAAAACTTTCTTATAACACTTTTCAAGTTATTTTAACTGATACAAAGAAGTTTTAATCGATTAAAACCCTGCACAGAATTTTTTCTAAGTCATTTTAATCGATTGAAATGCGTTTTAATCGATTGAAATGCGTTTTGACTTTATCTTTGACTTCATCAAATCACTGAGATCTTTGCTAGTCGCTCGAGCGAGATCAGTTTCGCTCAGCGAAAATAAAACCCGAGGATGAAAATTATGTGCAGGTGTCTTCGCTCGAGCGAGTTTACGGTCGCTCAAGCGAAATATAACTTGTAATAGCGGTTTTAGGTGAACCGCTATCTAAAGTGTCGAGGTTTTGGTACTGTGATCGATCATTTTGGGAAAATAATCGATCATTTGAAAACTTTAGGTAGCGGTTAACATATAACCGCTATCATAGGTTACTTTTAAGAGCGGTTGTCTTTGTAACCGCTCTTAAAAGTGTATATATAATAGCGGTCCAATTTAACCGCTATCTTATATATATTTGTATTAGCGGTTATTACTGGAACCGTTATCTAAAATCTTGATCATTTGACAAATTATATATTCTAAAGACGACGGAAGGAGGTAAGTCATGAGCAGAAGTCGGAGTCGTACATGCGATGGTCACGAGTCGACAGCGATGGTCACAGGCAGGTGAGTCACGGGCTGTACATGCGATGGTCACGGACTGCATGCACCAACTTCACGTGTTCACAGCTGATAGAAGTTACGGGACTTATTCTTTCTTCTGTAGTTACGACTAGATAGGGAAAGTTATTGTATTATATAAAGCAAAGCTAGTCTCATAAGACTAGCTAAAATACTCTAGCAAAGCAAAGCAAAGCTACTCTGTTGTAGGTTGGATCTTCGCCGGTGGCCATTAACTTTGGTGTGACCTTGGTTGGTACGTTTGTTTTTGGTATATTGTCGGAGGAACACCCCAGGTATGGTTCTGTGTCTTCTCTGTCATGGTTGGAACATAAAACTTGGTTGGTACGTTTGTTTTTGGAGTCTGTGTGCATGCATAAGAGTCTGTGTGTGCATTGGTTATGTTGTTGTTGCAGTCTGTATCTTAGAGGAAAAAATTACATTATTTTTACTTACAAAAAATGAGATTATTTTTGCGAGTATTCGAAAGACTATCGGACATTTGTTAACACTTGCTCATTGTTGGATCGAAAGTTTTGCCAAGGAATCGAGTCGCGGGATTGAAGACAAGGTACCAAGCTTGTTGTCCCATTCTATATGTAAGATCTGTATTGACATGTATAACCTGCTTAAGAATATTGCCAGTACTTTTCATCCGGATAATGCAAAATTCTGAAATCTAAGCATTTTTAGGTATAAGTATTATGACAATACTTACATATGATAAATTTAGAGGAAAAAAATTATTAGTAGTTTTGTAAATAATTTTTGGTTTTGTGATACTTGGTTTGCGAGATGGCAATTTTGAATTACTTCCATTAAACATTAATTAATTAATTATATATATATATATATATATATATATATATATATATATTTGCAGATGGCGAGACAAAAACATCGAGGTCATTGGTTTAGACAATGACGATATAGATATTGGTGCTGGATATAAACATGATTTCACATATACAAAGTGAGATAAAAAAGCGAAGCGAAATAGGAGCGATGACAATTCTTTGTTTGATAGCTTATGGATTAAATATGTTGTCTATGGTAACTTGTAGTAGCAGTAACATTAGAGACTTTATTTACGAAAAAGAACGTCGTCGGCACGAGTTGATGTCATACCTTATTCATACTTGAACAATCTCGTCACATTATTCGCATGGGACCGGAGGCGTTCATTAACTTGTGTCAACGAGTAAGGACAACTGGATTAGTAAACGATGGGTTACAATCAACAGTGGAAGAACAAGTGGCTAAATTTCTCCATATTATCGGACATAACGTTAAAAATCGAACTGTTTCATTTTTTTTCCATCGATCAGGTGAAACCGTTAGTCGACACTTTCATAACGTGTTGAATGCGATAATAATGTTGGACGAACAATTAATTGTTCAACCATCGAGGAAGGGATGTGTGTCCGTATATATTAAGCAACAACCGATTTTACCCATACTTTAAGGTAATGTACTTACCAACTTTGTGTCTATATAACATACACATAGATTGTCTAAACTTTAATGACAATAAATTTTTTACCCATTAGGATTGTTTAGGGGCAATAGATGGAACTCATGTTCGAGTTAAAGTCGCAAGATCAGATGCCCCTCGTTTTCGTGGAAGAAAAGATTGGCCAACACAAAACGTATTTGCAGCTTGTGATTTCGACATGAAATTCACATATGTTCTAGCAGGGTGGGAAGGAACAGCATCTGATTCAAGAATATTAAAGGATGTTCTTACGAGAGAGGATCGCCTTATCATACCACAAGGTTTATTATTTATAACATGCGGATTTTGTGTATAGTCAACTAGTTTAAATATTCTAATTAGTATAACTTCAATGATTTTAAATAGGTAAATACTACTTGGGGGATGCTGGATTTATGTTAAAAGGAAACATAATGACCCCTTATCGAGGCGTTAGATACCACCTTAAAGAGTATTCTCGACGAGCTCCACAAAACCCCGAGAATTGTTTAACCATCGACATTCGTCTCTTAGAAATGTCATTGAAAGAACATTTGGAGTTTTGAAGAAAAGATTTCCTATAATAGCTAGTGGAACAGAGCCTCATTATTCATTTGATACAATGACGAATATAGTCCTAGCATGTTGCATTCTACACAATTTTCTTCGAGGGATAGACAACGATGAATCACCTGTTAGGCTGAAGTGGATCGAGAGTTGATGGAACAAGATGTGGATAATATGTCGACTCAAGTTCGGGAAGAGGATTATAGGGAAGGGTCAAACTTAAGAGATACTATAGCAAATCAAATGTGGATAGATTATCAAAGTCATTAGATTTTGTATATAATAATATATTTAATAAGATGTACTATTGTTATTGTTGAAATACGATTACATTACGATTATCTATTTATAATAATTATATGTTGGTATCGTAATTACATATATTATCTTTCCAATAGGTTTAAAATGAACAGAGGAAAGGATATTGCACGGATTCGTCACACTGTAGTACGCGAGTTTACAAAATGGATTGATGACATGGACTTTCGGTTGTTGATTGCTATGCTTGATGAGGCAAGGTTGGGTAATCGGGTTGATGGTAGTTGGACAACCCAAGCATATAAGAATATAGTTGAATCCCTAAGACGATCTGGATTAATTGGTATAACTAAAAATAATGTTAAAAATCGACAAAAAAGTCTTAAGGATAGATGGCGGGAGGTCCACGATTTGTTTCATGGACTTAGTGGATTCGCTTGGGATGATATGACAAAACGGTTTGTGGGTGAGCAAGAAGTATGGGATGACCTAATTGAGGTACTATTATATGAATTATCATTTGTTGATATAGCAAAACATAACAATTACGAGTGTTAACCATTCTCATTATTTTGTAGGCGAAGCCTTCTGCAGCTAAATGGAAGCTGGCAACTATAAGACATTATGATTTGATGGAAGAATTGTGGGGTGCTCGATCGAGCCGGTGGACATATGGCAAGAACTTCGCGTCGGGCCGAATGAATATCGGTTCTCGAAGGGCAACGGTCGACTTGAACGTTGATGTGGACCCCACACCGGAGGAGCGACCATTTCACTTTGGCTTTGATGCGGGATTTGATACGACTTATCGATCACCTCCACGCATGGGTTCCGACAGTCCTGGCGAGGGTGCTCACTCAATTCCATCTGCTGCGTCTATCGGTTCGGGTGGAACCTCTTCATCTCGGGGCACAAAAAGAAAAGCGCCTATGGTTGATGTGATGGAAGGTCAATTTGAAAAACTAACATCGAGGCTGGACACATTTACGGATTACCTCGGGCAAGGTAATACAATCACCCAACGATTATCCGACATAGCTGAAAGACAGGTGGTCGCCATTGAACGCAGAAATGAATTAATTAATGAGCAAGTTAATGTGATGAGACGATCATCAACATTTCAACATTCGGAGTCAGATATATGGGACATGTTAGTCGGCATGAACCTAAATGACGAGCAACTTATGCTTCGATGTTATAATCATTTGTGTACTCACCCATCACATGTTAGACGACTTTTTGGCTTGCCCTCACATCTTCGTCTCTCCCGAGTTGTTCATGTTCTTGAATGGAGGTGATTGAATGATCTGAAGCTGGAGGACTTCACTACAAAAGATGGATAACATTATAATTATTTGTTTAAAGAACATTAGTGTGCATAGATTTATAATTTTAGTAATCTTTCCTTTAATTATTATTCTATTTTCACTTGTATTTTATATTTGTTTTAAATAATAATGTACAATTATATTATTAGTTTTCATAATTATTTGTTATTATCGAGTCAATATTAATTATTATTTTATATTTTATAATTATTTAATTATTAGTCAAATAATTTATTTAATATGTCAACATTATTTGAATATGGATATGCAATGTACATAATTTTGTAATTGTTTATTTATATAATTTTTAATAACTATCTAAAAAAAGTTAATTTTTTAAATTTGTTTCCAATTACAAACACTTTTAAATTTGTTTTTTCTTTTAAATATATAATCAATGTTAAAATATGGATAATTAATTAAAAAATTATATTTATAATCATTTGAACCTTATTTGATACAAAGGGTAAAATGGTAATTTTCTTAAATAATAAACATAAAATTATAATTTTTATATCTCATATCAATCAAATCATTCACAATTTTCCATAAACTTTCCTTTCACTTTTCAATCATCTCCATTTCTCTTCAAATCCCTCCTTTTCCACTCTCTCATTTCCACTCTCTCAAATCACTCCATCCAAACAAAGCATAAAAGTCAAGAAATAAATGTCACATCTTGACCACTTTAATATTAACAAACAAGTTATCAAAATCAATAAGATTTGTATTATATAATACTAATAAAAAATAGTGACAGATCACATGAAACATGAGATGATACCCACATTTAGGCGAGCAGGTGAACCATTATTATTAGCTTAATTTAAACTATTGGTGTTGATTAATTTGCTTAATCTGTTACCCTAATCTCCATCACAGCATCACTCTTAATGATCTAATTGTATTATAAAATCACAAATAGGGATAATGTGATGGCCCAACCAATCATGCGGTTGTGGACTTTTTGACATAAATGTCGAGTGTTATATTCAACATTTCTTAAGTGGGAAATTTACCCCACTTTTCACGAGTTAATTGTGTAAGATTTGAACAAATGAATGCCCATATTCTTTTTTATAAATAGTAATGCATTGTAAAGATTTTCATTCGATACTTAGTAACGAATTTGTTTTCTCTTTTCATCAAACATGAGTTTCGACTGTTTTTTTAGGGTATGTACCAAATTCAACCCTTGCATTGGTTGGTTCATTTCATGAGTTTAACGTGTGAACAGACAAAAATTGACCAAAAGTAAAGTGAAAATATTCATTATGCTGTATATCAAATCGTAAAATAAGATCAAAAGAACGCTTAGTCCAACTCAATCATACATGTATAATTAATCAATGTGATTATATAGAGTTGGACACTAATATTGCACACTAATCATGTTTTTCTATTTATACTCCCACAAGTGATTGTAAAGCATGCTTGATATCTCAGAAACAGAGTTTGTGCTTAACTCAAATTTCTTTACTAGAAAACTATAGAACCAAAGATAATATATAACAGAGAATAAAAAGATAAATTAAAAATAATATATATAAATCAATATATTTCGGAACAAGTCAATACGTAAAATTAATATATTAGTTCATAACTTTACCTAAGAATACCCCTAACCTATATGTCTTAAACCTACAGATTTAGTTTATTTTCTTTAAAATATTTCTTGACATGATTTTGAATATCTAAAGAATCCTTTGGGTTTGCTAAAAGCTACAACAATTCTTAACCATAAAACAAAATGTATTGCCGTGTATAAGATTAAATTTTATAAAATAAATAAAGTAAACACATTAATGACAGATTTAAAATTGTATAACCGTTGCATATCTGTAGCTGCAAATCATGATATTAAGTTCCAACTTTACTGTAAATATTCAACTAATCTAGATCGAATTATTTAATAGAATTATTAATCAATACCACTACATTATTCTAATGACAGAGATTATAATTCTAGGATTGATACCAGCTGGTTATGGGCAACACCTTCCTTTTAGTCAATACTTTTAAATTTTATTATTAAACTAAATGTATTTT